AAAAAATTAAGTACACAGAGAAGGGGTGATGTGCGCTGTGGGTTCAGACTAAACAGTGATTATCAAGAGGGTCTTAGTTATTTAAACAAGCCATTTGAGGGCGGTTTGCTCCTCGTTTGGGGCCTGGTCCTGATTATAAACGAGAGCTTTTAATTAAGATTAGTAAGACCCAATTCAAGCCATAATTTGGTCCTTTTCCTTAGCAAATGTCTATGAAAACAAGGCAATTAAGATTAAATGAGTTGAAGCATTTAAAGGGGATGAAATGCTCCCTCATCGCCCCCAGCCTGCCCCCCTCGACGGAATGAGCATAAACAGGCCTGGCTAATTCAGACCAGGCCAGCGCAGAGCCTGTCCTGGCGGCTTCCAAAAGCCCCATGCCCAAGGGGCTGGGTGAGCTGGGTATGCCTCGGCCTTGCTAAGTGAAGAGGGATTGGGAAACGGAATGTGCAAAGGCCCCAAGGTAGAAAGGAGCTGGCAAGTTTGAAGAACAAAAGAAAGACAGTGATGCTGGAGTGTGGGTAGGGAGGAAAAGATAAAAAATAACAGTAATCAAAGTGGTTGAGCTGAGAGCTGGGCTAAGCCCGAGTGGTGTCACCTCGCAGTTACAGGAAGGGTGGTGTGCTCTCAGCCCCTCACATTTGCTGCGGCTCTTTCAGACGTGCTGGTAGCAGCAAGGCAGTGGGGGGCGCTAAAGGAGGAAAAGGTCTCCGCAGCCCTCTCTATCACTCCATAGCTAAGGGAGCCTTCCTCATGCTTTCAGACAGGCTGCCGGGAACCCCATGGCTGACTGGGGTTGGAATCCAGGCTCTGCTGCCTCTCCGCTGGACAACCTTGCTAGAGACTGACCTCTCTGGGCCCACTTTCCCCAGGCTAACTGTGACACCGGTCCATACCAGATATCCTTAAATGGGTCCCCTCCCCTCTCGGGCCTCAGCTTTGCCATCTGTAAAACCTTCAGACTTTGTGAGGTTCTGGGAGGCCTTTCCTGGTACCCCAGGATTGATAATGGTCATCCACTATCTACCGACACCAGCTCTGGGCCCAGCCATGAGTGAAGTCATGCAGGTCATCACAACTTAGTATGACAGGAGCTCTGAGGAGAGAGGTTCACAGGTGATAGCTCTGTCTGGGGAACCAGGGAAGGCTTCCTGGAGGAGGTGACTCTTGGGACCATCCACCCTCCCTTTCATCCAACAAATGCCTTCTGTGACCTGTGCCAGGCCCAGTGCTGGGTATCAGGGATGGAAGCTGAACAGGCCAGAGACCTGTTCTTGAGGAGCCCACATTCCAGGAGGAGACGTGAGAAAACATAAATGCAATGTGAGGTGGGTTACAATGGAGGGTGCAGGTCTGGGAGGACAGGAGCGGGGGTGGTCACCTGTAAAACACAGGTGCTGCCCAGGATGCCCTTAAAGTTTCTTCTAACTTTACACATCCATGTGTTTAACTCAAGTTGCTTCAGATTCCATCAAGATGCGAATCATTCAGGGAACCCTGATTTATTCTCAGCCTTGCTCAGCCTTTCCCAGCTGTCTGAGGCACCTCATTCTGGCTGCAGCAAGCCCCTGCCAGTGTTACACTGACCACCTGGGCCCCCTGACTGCTCTCTGGACACATCTGCAATGTGGCTGCTCACGTGGAGGCCACATTAATATCACATGTACACTGGCCACTCAGCAAGATGACTTTGAAGGTGTAGTAAGAAACTGTCCTCAGAATGGGGGGCAGGCATCTTCCAGTGCTGGGTTTACTAAAGAGGATTTCACAAGCAGCAGAAGTTCCAGGGTGCACAATTGAGGACATAAGAGGCTCGATCAGCCCCACATAGGGCTACCCACAACCTGGGCCCACTTCTCATGAAGAACTGGGGAGACTGTGGAAGCTACGCTCTCAGACATGCTTTGCAGAGAATCCATCCTCTGTGTTTACCACAGGAAATAGCAAAGTCTATGAGATCTGTAGGACAGGGTACTCATTTCCCCCAAAACTGCAACCCCGACCTCTGTAGCACCTCACACCAGCTCAGGACCTGCAGATGCAGGAGCCCAGTGAGGGAAAACAGGTTTCATCTACCATGGAAATGACTGTCTGGAGGGTACAGTGATTGATTACTGATGTCTGCTGTGGAAGAGAAGGTGACAGACAGCATGTTTGCCATCCCTGAAGTGGGTTTAGTAGAACCACAGGAAAGCCTCCCATGTATTTTTTATTGTACATTCTTGGTAAATGGTCATCGGTGAATGACACATGTACGCGTATGTCATGTGGGGATATGGATGTATGCGTATGATTTATAGGTATAGTCAATGAACCAGAATACCCCATTTTCCAAGGATTTCAGATCCTGGGAATTGTTGGAAAAAGACAAAGCTTCGCCCCTTTTCACATTTTGAAGAAAATTATGATCATGAATGTCCACATGATGATGACAGTGATTATCAACAATATCATCATCAGCATTGTCACCACCATCGTCACCATCATCATTACCATTGTCATCAGCACCATCAACATTGCCATCATCATCACCATCACAGTAACAGCAGCTAATGCTTATATAGTACACTTATGTGCCAGCTATGTTTAAATGCTTTAAATATATTAACTCATTTAATTTGCACACTAATGGTACGAAGTAGGTACTTGTAGTATGTCCATTTTACAGATAAACAAATAGAGGTTAAGTAACGTGCCCTGGCAGAATTTGAACCCAAGAAGCTCTGGCTCCAAAGTTCATTTTTTAACCACTATGCTCAACTGAATATGGACTGTTCATTCCCTCCTCTTGAAACAGAAAGCCACAGATAGCGATAACCACCTGCAGAAATAGTGGGGAGAAATGGGTCCACCAAACCTCGGTTCTAGTTGCAACTCAGGCAAGACCCTTCCCCTCTCAGACCTCCATTTCTCCATCTGTAAGCCAAGGAAGTGAACATCTGCATGGTTTCCAAGCTCCCCTGCATGTGGCTTGCCAGCCCTTCTACTTTTCAAAGTCCCAAGTCCTCACAGGGAAGCCAGTGGGGGATTTGATGGTCCTTGGGTGAACACTCTGGCAGGCTTGTGTCAATTCTGATCGATGACTGTGGGTGGGTCCCAAGAGTGAGAAAACCTGAGTGCAAGTGGGACAAGGTCCACTTAGGTCCTCAGAACCCCTGCCAGCACTCACTCACAGGGGATTTAGGGAGCAAGTGACCACACAGTGTCCTCCCCCTGGTTCCCAATAGTCATTCTATGTATTGTTAATGTGGCAACTCAACATGTGCTGATTCACAAGTCTCCTCCTCTCTCATCCTTACACTCAGGAGGGAAAAATGATTTCCCTCTCTAGCAGGTGAGGACATGAGGCCCACAGAGCCAGCAAGTGGCAGAGCTGGGCTTGGGACAAGAGTCTGACTGCTAAACCAGGGCTCAAGCAAAATGGGGAGTTAAAGCTGGACTCTGAATGTCTTCAGGAAGCAGGTAGGAGACAAAGCATGGGCCTCCTGGGCAGAGACAGTGGGAGAGGACCTATGGTGCTGGGCTCGGGGAGGAAAAGGCCCGGTCAGTGGCTTAAACCAGCAGAGATGGGGGTTGCCTATGGCCCTCCCTGTCCAGGGCACTGGTCTGGAGGGCAGAGCAGAGGGTCAGAAAGCTGTCACACACAGCCTTGCATGTGCCACTTGAACCACTGAACTATCCTCCAAACCCTCCAGCAGCTGGGGAGGCTGTCCCACCCGGCCTTTCATTCATGACCTGCTCTATCTGCCTCCAGCCCGTCCTCCTTCCAGAGGTCTGTGGTAGGTGCCAGTGCCCCTATCCAGATTCTGGGCCTCCAGCAAGCCAGGGATATGACCAAACCAGGCATGATCCAGGATGATGTCATCTGCCCAGCACTCAGCCTTGAGTAGATGCTCAATAAATGAGATGGATTTACAGTGCCAGCATCCCAAGGAGGTATGGCTGCACCTCCTATAAAATGCTAGGCCTGTTGACAGAAAGACCAGGTACCCCCATCTTGTTCTCACAAGTGCTCTCCAAGTTGCTCTCATGCTTCAAAAAATTAAGCTGGCAGGGCTCAGGGAGAAGAAAAGGAGAAGCTAGAGAGTCACTAAGTGGGAATTGGAAGACCTGGGTTTCAGTCCTCAATATGTCACAAAACTGGGGACCTTAAAAAGGTGCTTCTACTCTCTGAGCTTCATTTTTCCTCTTCTATACAATAGGAGTGGATGGAGAAGATTTGGATCAGTGGCTCCATCCAGGGGTGCACATCAATCATGGAGGGAGTTATTTCCAGCCCCCTGAGGTTGGGCCCTGCCCCAGACCCATGGGGTCAGGATGACTGAAAAGACCCTCATGGACAAATGCTCTCAATGGTTCCCTCTGGCTTGGAGAGTCCAGAACACAGCCAAGACTGCTCATTTCTCTCTGACTTCCAGCCTGCCAGGGAGGCAGTTTCTAAAGCCAGGTGGACAAACCACCACCCCAGGTGCAGGGAAGAAAGGCTGGACAGAGAGATGGTACCAATCCACCACCCTGTCCAAGCTCTGGAGCTTGAGACAGAAGACCTGAGCCAGCCTCATGTCTCCTGTGACCATGGCCAGCTACTGAGCAGGTCCTTTGTGGGAAGCTACAGACCACACTGGTGGTATTGTGTTTAAAGTTAGGGACCTGTGGGGAGGGACCCACCCCAGGCCTTTACTCCCCCATATATCCAGTAAGGGACAGATGCACAAATATATCATTCAGTGCTTCATCTCAATGTCTTTAAAAAACAAAATGTTGCAAACCTGGGTGAGTCAGGCACCCATGACACCAGCTTCCACTCTCCAGGGAAGCATCTCATGTTCCCAGAAAGCCTGCAACCTCCCTCCCTAGGGTGAGAGAAGATTGTGCTGTCAGCCCCCCTCACTGTGCGGCTGGCAGCTGAGCCCTGCCTGGCATTAAATGGTGGCGCATCGGCCACCTGCAGGGCCCCCAGCAGCCACAGGGTGTGGCTAAAAGGGCAGGACTGGACTCACCTTCACACTGCCTCCCTTCCCCCTTATAGCCTGGCTTGCAGAGGCACTTGTAGGACTTGGGTGTGTTCTGGCAGATGGCGTCAATGTGGCAGTCATCTGTGCCCTCCGAGCACTCATCCACATCACCTGTCCCTGTTGGGGGGGTGGGAGAAACAACAGGTGAGTGTAGCCAGGGAAGCAGGCAGCGACAGTGTGGGGTAGGGGAGCTTGTCCTCTGCTCTTCCATTGATGGTTGGGGTAATTAACAATAACAGCTGTCACATGACAATCTTGTGTGACAAAGAGCAACTGGTAGCATCTTTGGGGCAGCTACTCTGTGCTAGGTACAATGCTACCAGTATGCTTGATCTCATTCGTTTTCACAACAGTCCCACTGAGCAGGGCTATTATTCCCACTAAAAAGATGAGAAAGCTGAGGCATAGGGACACATCAAGGAAACAGCTCTCTTTTGTGTGTCTTGCTTTCCCCACAAGCAACACTCCAACCCTCCTCTACTTTCCTCATTCTAGAATTTAAAGCCAGAAGCGTCCTTGGAGGAATTTAAATCCAGTCCATAAGGGTTATGGATGGGGAAACTGAGGCTAGGGTGGAGCAGTGAGCAGAGGCCGTGCTAGGAGGCTCCTGCAGGTGACTTAAACATGGGATCCCACCCAGCCCCTAGGCTGTAGAAATACTGGATTCTTCATCTGGCATCCACATCCCCAGACTGGAGTGTCCAGAGGCAAAACCACACCCTCAACTGGCCTAAACTTGGCTCATCGATGGTTTTGATCTCCCCCATTCTCCTCCTCACCTCAGAAATCTAGGTATGAAACTGGTTCTCATAAGCCAACTTCTAAATTCAAGTTCAGTCTAGGTTTTGAGGGCTCCTGGCACTCCCTGCCTTCTCCCACCCCTAACACACATATACACCTTCAGTCTGGAACAGCTGCCGTGGCAAGATAATGCAAAACAGATTCTGTGTATCTGTGTATTCACCCCAACCGCTCTCTCTCTCTCTCTCTCACACACACACACACACACACACACACACACACACACACACGCACACACACGCACACACACACACACACAGAGTTCAGACATGGAGAGGACCCTCGGGGCACAGGATAGCCCAGCCAAAAGAACCTTAGTTGTAATGCAGGTTAATTCCTCTTGTAGATGAGGGAACTGAGTCCAGTGAGTGCTGTTAATAGGTCAGTAGCTCATTAGGGGCAGGGACCAGAGTCCAGCATAGAATAAGCTTTTCTACGTGCCATGTTACTTCCAGCAAGCTGTGAATGCAGATGTATGACAGACAGACAGAAGGACCCAGGAGAGCAGCACAAGGAACCCTCAGCAGCTACCCTGAGAACATACCCCTGAGCATAGCCCCCCAGGGGCAAGCTTGGAATGTCCCCATCTCTTTGAGTCTCTGTCCTCACCTTAAGCTGCCTGGTCCCCAGACATGTCCCCTCTGAATTAGCCCCCTGTCTGGCATCTGGATTCTAAATCTGTAAGTAGGGCCTCTCTAAGAGATCCACTTCCTCCCTCCCCAGGACTCTTTCTCCTCTGCCCCAGCCCCCAAGGCTCCAGCCCACCCCTGAAGAAAGAGAGGCATCAAAAAGCAACACCACAGAATGACCTCCTTGCGTACACACGTGTACACACACACACACACACACACATGCACACAGATATGGCATGGCTTTTCAGGGTGGTTGTATCGAAGAAAGAGAGGCATCAAAAAGCAACACCACAGAATGACCTCCTTGCGTACACACGTGTACACACACACACACACACACACACATGCACACAGATATGGCATGGCTTTTCAGGGTGGTTGTATAGAGTTCAGACATGGAGAGGACCCTCGGGGCACAGGATAGCCCAGCCAAAAGAACCTTAGTTGTAATGCAGGTTAATTCCTCTTGTAGATGAGGGAACTGAGTCCAGTGAGTGCTGTTAATAGGTCAGTAGCTCATTAGGGGCAGGGACCAGAGTCCAGCATAGAATAAGCTTTTCTACGTGCCATGTTACTTCCAGCAAGCTGTGAATGCAGATGTATGACAGACAGACAGAAGGACCCAGGAGAGCAGCACAAGGAACCCTCAGCAGCTACCCTGAGAACATACCCCTGAGCATAGCCCCCCAGGGGCAAGCTTGGAATGTCCCCATCTCTTTGAGTCTCTGTCCTCACCTTAAGCTGCCTGGTCCCCAGACATGTCCCCTCTGAATTAGCCCCCTGTCTGGCATCTGGATTCTAAATCTGTAAGTAGGGCCTCTCTAAGAGATCCACTTCCTCCCTCCCCAGGACTCTTTCTCCTCTGCCCCAGCCCCCAAGGCTCCAGCCCACCCCTGAAGAAAGAGAGGCATCAAAAAGCAACACCACAGAATGACCTCCTTGCGTACACACGTGTACACACACACACACACACACACATGCACACAGATATGGCATGGCTTTTCAGGGTGGTTGTATCTGCTCAAGTGGGCAGGCCATCCTCTACAGCTGCCCTCAGGGAGGGTGGAAAGGGGGCCAGAGGTGGTGGATGAAGGCCAGGGGCCAGCAGGAACATTGGGGCCTTTTGGGGAAGTGGCAACAGAGGGACCCCCATGCAGGGGCAGAACTGCCTCAAGGGCAGGAAGCCAGAGGCCAGAGAGGGCCAACCTACATGCTTCCAGGGGGAAGCACTGGGGCCACATCTGAGACAGGACCAGCAGAGTCAGCTGGTCACAGAGATGGCTCTTCCCACTCTGAAGGGTCAGTGTGTGGGAATGAGGGAAAGGAAACTGCCTGGGGCTCTGGATTTGCTTGCAGCCCCCCAACCCTAATCTCCCATCCAGGTAAGTGTCTTCATCAGGATGGAAATGATGGATGCTGGTGAGGGCTGGGTGGAGCTATCTCCCAACACACCTTATGTGTGGGGAGAAGGGGGTGGGGAGAGGGCAGGTGAGCTCGAGGAGAGGGAGAGGAGCCAACAGGCCATTTGTCCCCACAGGTCCTCCTGCCACATTCTCTGGCCTGGGCAGAGCTTCCTGGTGCAGGGCAGCCCAGCTCTCCCAGCATGGGTCGCTCACCTTGACTTTGGTTTGCTTATGCTGGGGAACGGCCGCTGGGGTTTCACAGTCACAGGGCTTCCACAGAGAGGAGAAGGGGGACGGGAGATAGAGATAGACACGGAGAGACACGAAGAGGAACAGAGAGGTGGAGAGAGGCACTCACAGTTGCACAGAGGCGAAGGGCCCCAAAGCCTGGGAGAGACACCTACAGACACATTGGGGTACGGGCAGCAGGGCCCAGCTTCCAGGAGGGGGGCGCAGGGAAAAAAGCTTGGCTCCAACTGTGAGATAGTTTAAACGGCTTAGCATCCTCGCTCAGGGCGTGACTCTCAGGAAAAGACCCCACACTACCCCAAAACGGACTTCAGGGAGGCCAGCTTGGGCAAAGGCAGGCAGGAGACTCCCCCCACATTCCCCCTCCAAGGAGAGAAAGGGACGAAGCTCCTCTGAAGACCTGGGAGTAGAGAATGTGATTCTAGCTTTTCCATTGGGGGAGTCCCTTCCAGACAACCAGAGAACAGGAGGGGACAGGGCAGGAAGACAGGGGGTCACTGTGGTGAGCCCACCTCCTCTCATGTGCATTCCCTCCAGTGTCTCCTGCCTCCTCTCCCGGATCCCCTCGCCACTGATATCCCATGTCTGGTCTCCCTTCCTGCTCCCATCCATCTCTTTCCTTCTGTGTCTGTTTGTCCCCTCTGCCTTCTTCCCCTCTGTCTCTCCTTCCCCTCCTGTCAGACTGTCCATCTGTCCATCCGTCCATGGCTTTCCCGGCATTTCCATCCTTCTCTGTCTCCCTCCCTCTGTCCCCACCCCCACCCCAGTCTCCCATCTCTTTCTCTGGTGTCCATCTGTCTCCACCTCTCCTGCTCTCTCCTCTTGTCCACCGGTGGGTCCGTCTCTCACGTCCCCCCTCCTTCTATCTGTCTTTTTCCTTCCTGCTGTCCATTTGCCTCCTTCTCCCCCTCCGGTCTTTCTGGTCTCTTCTCCACCCTTCCGTGTCTGTCTCTCTCAGGGCTTCTCCCCGTGTCCTTTTGTCTGCTCCCTCTGAACCTCATTTTTTGTCCGTCTGTCCCTCCATCCACCACCTCCCCTCCCTCCTTTTCTCTATCCGTCCTTTCCCCTCAGTTCACCTCCTCCCGTCGCCCCTCCGGCCCTCCTTCTGCCCGCGCTCCCCTCTCCCCCGGGGGAGCACCCCTCTGGGCTCCGGGGTCCCTGCCCCGCCTCGGTCCGCTGGCCGGGATCCCCGTCGGCCAGCCGTCGCGCTTTCTTTCTTCCTCCCGCCTCACGCTTCCCCTCCCCGGGGCCTCAGCCCACCCCGCCCCTGCTGCGGCCCCGCCGGGCTCCAGGAACCCCGGGCCGCCCGGGCTGCGGGGAGGGGGCGCCCCGGGCTGGCCCCAGAAGTTACTTTGCAAAGAGGC